TCTGATGCACTAAGCTATTTTGGGAGGTAATTTCATCACTATACATATATAGCTGGATATATGTAGGGTTGGCTTGGCTGGGCAACTGGTGGGAGGCTTTTCAGGGTGGTGAAAGGACTTGGGGGGTAGAAAGGAAGAAATGTCATGGAATGTCATTTCCATGCAAATATCAGAAACTTCCAGTTTTTGGCCAGAAATGATGTAACGGTGCACAAAGTGCTGGTTTCCCACTCCTTTCCTTTCCCATTGCTGAATGTACTAGCAATGAGCAATGGGTTGCAGTTAGGGATGTGCATTTGGATATTTCTGGTCCAAATATATATCAAAAACACCTTATTGATATTTTTAAATATATCTGGTTATCTGGAGTATTTGGAATTCTTGGAATTTTCAGAAATATTCAGGACTATTTGGAGCTGCAATTTTAAGGCTCCAGGCTATTTTTCTTCCATTGAACATGTTTCCTGGGCAATGAGAAGGAGGGAAGGAAGGAGGCAGCTCCTGTCTGTCCAATCATGACTATTCTCTCATAGCCCTCCATGACTTTCTGAGCATGGGCAAAGAGGATTTTTTAAAAAGCGCCCTGGTGGTAGTTTGGCTCCATTTCAGGACTATATATTTTGCGTCTGCTGCTGTGCTGTGGACTGCTGTCTGCCTGGGATGGGCAGGAAGCCGTCTTGCCCCTGAAGGAGAAAATGGCCACTCACGGGAGTGCAGCTCCAGCATCCAATCACCTTTCAAAAGGGGGATGGAATGTTGGAGTGAAGCACAGCAGGAGTTTAGTCCAGGTCTGCCTCAAGGAGAATGCAAAGAGAGAGTTCAGTTCTGCCTGAGGGAAAGCGCTGTGAACAGGTCTGGCTCAGAAAAAGAGCAGACAGAGTGGAGGGTAGCTCCACTCAGTAGTGTGGCAGAGCGGTTTGGCTCTACTTCTGATAGAAAATAGAGTACCCGATAGTTTGGCCTGTCTCTGGTAATTATTAGGCCTTGTACCATTTAGTCTGACTCTTGGGAAAGGATAGGCTGGTATGGGTGGAATCCTGTGTATGTGAGAAGATCCAGCCTAGTGACTAGTCAGTAAAAGCCTGTTTTTGCTTGAAAACATTAGGGAAAATTCAAACTACTCTCTGAAGTTTATAGCTAGTTTATATTTATTTTCCTCTGCCACATTTCTTCTTCATCTACCTGGTGCTTTGAAACCAACTTGTAAATGAATCAATATTTTGTATTGTTAATATACAATTCCTGCCACAGTGTTCTCCGTATTCTATTTGCTCACCACAAACCTTACCTCATGGCAGTGAACCCATTCCTATACAACACGCTACCTTTAAAACACTTGGTAACTGAGCGGAAGGTTTATAGTTTAAAACAAACCTTGTTCCCCAAAAATCATAGGAGGCTATGTGGGTCCCCTCAGCTGATAGAAACAGCCTGTCACACCTTTTTCTTGTTCTGTGTCTGGACATCTTCAGGACTGGTTTGCCCCAGAGTAAACTTTATTTTAAAATATTATTTAAACTATTATTTCTAGTTATTATGGTGGAGTTTTTTTGGTTTTTTTGGACTGGCAGTTGTAGTGCATGTGTTTACTTTCTGTTTCTTTTCAAAAATTGTTTTGTGCTTTTTCTTAAAATAGTTTTAAAATGGTTGAAAAGGCTTCTGCTGTTCTGTTTAGGACCTTAGTAGTAATAGATTCTTATATACAGTTGCTCTTATGCAGAAATATTTTGATTCAGAAGCTTCTGGGAAACATGGACCAACTTCCTGGAAAATCAGCCTTTTAAACTTGCTTGACTGCTAGCAAGGGACATGTTGCAATTCACAAGTAAATCCTGGTTCATAAATAATCAAGGGAAAAGAGTGAACCTTCTGTTGCTATGGGCAAAAATCTATACCTCTTCATGTATATAGCAACATCTCTGTCAGATAACACTAAAAATGAACACACACTCCATTTGCACACACATCTCTTTTGTGAATCTCCAACCACTAGCAGCAGTATTACGAAGTCATATTCTGTCCTACAGGAGACAGGGATGATTGAAGTCCTGATCTTTATGTCAAAATTGAAAGCTGCCCAACTAGATGAGACACTGTGAGAGCAATCCTAAGGAGCTCTGTTGAGAAGTCCTGTTTTTCCCAGTGGTGCTTACTCCCATGCTCTTAGGACAGCAGCCTGGGAAATCTATGAATGGATATCATGTGTAGTTGTCAGTGTTTGTTTTGGGGTTTTTTTTGGGGGGGGGCAAAAAGCAAATGGGATAGGTGCAGGACTTTTTTGTTGTTGTTGTTAAAAGAGGTGCTGGAACTCTCAAGAGGAAAATGAAATTTTCAATCTGTATTCTGAAAACTCATGAACTTTTAAACATTTTTAAAAGAGTTTTGTCGAAGAGGTTCCAGAACTCTGTTCCGCCACGTTCTGCCAGAAAAAAAGCCCTGGATAGGTGAGGATTGGAGCCACAGTATGATGGGAGAAGGGATGGCTGGTGCAAGAGAAAGTGGGATTCCCCCCCTCCATGATATCAAATTACTTTACTTTCATTTCTTTTGCATTTGTTCATGTTTCACTACGGCCAGTCAGATAATATCAAGTAGTTATGTAGTACATAAATTAGTATAAATTACAATACACAGTCAAGTTCCAGCAGTTGGGCATAGTGTAGTACTATAAGAAGGTTTCCTTTGAGGAATGTTACTGTGGTCTCAAATGATCTCTTTTTATGATTTAATTGTGATGGTCTCCAAAAGGAACATGAGTGAAAGAAAAGAGTACAGAAGGTGATATGGCAATAGGGTCTTTTCCAGTGTCACTTTAAAAAACTAGTAAACAGAATAAAAGGGTTTATTACAATCTGTTTGCTTAGAATTTATTACAATAGTCAGAGCTCCCAAATGATAATAGGATTTCCTTATTAGTGTGAGCCCAAGACTGGTGATTCCTGGTGTGGCACCTACCAATGTGCTTCTTGGTGCTTACTTGCTTCCTGAGTCCTGGGGGTAAAATCCAGAGGGTTTTAATAGCATAGAAAAAAAAAACAGGGAGCTTTGGATTGTTCTCTGCCATCTGACAGACTAGCAAAGTGCTGACCTTATTGCAGGCAGGTGAATCACAGATGCTTGCCCTCAGCTTGGCCATAGACATAGATTTCCCTGTGGCTGCACAACAGGCAAATCATCACTTTTGGAAGCTGTAATCAAACAGTCTCTCTCTTCTAAAGAGGTGCTTCAGAACAGTCACAGAGGCATTATCTTTGTGTCTGCAAGAAGCCCCCATTCAGAAGCAGTCGCCTTTGTCCTAGAAGGATGCTTGGCTTGGAACCTCCCAGTATTTTGAGACAGCCCTTTTCCTCTGACAGCTATTTTGAAATTGGTCCTGCCCTTGTGGCACCCGTTTTATGGTGGTGTCCAATACTCTTTCTCAAAATCTCAAAAGTGCCCACAGGCTCACCAGGTTTGGGGACCTTTTGCCCAGACTGGTAGTGCCATTGGTTACCATGTCTTTTACAGGAAGGTTTGTATTATTCAATAGAAGGTAGCTTACCATCCCAAATCTGCCGGAGGAGAAATGGACTACTATTACTGATGGCCAGGTAAAAGACTCATTCATAAATAATATGAGCAACAGGGGCTTTACACTTTTGTAAGTGCAAGATTGTACCTTATGAACAACCTATTGTTGACATAGGACTGATGCATGACTACATTTTATAAAAGCAATAAATTGAGCTGCTGTTGATGTCGGATCAAACTTTAAGAAAGGCAGCTGAACTTTTGCTGTATAACATTATGGGGGCATATCAGGGTGTCCTCTTCTCAGGTGCAGTATAGCCATCTTTCGACCTACTAAACTGGGGTTTAAACAGAAGTCCCTATACAAGGATCATTCTAGAATTCAGGAAGAGGAATAAATGAGTCCATATCAGTCTGTCCTTCTACTAGTAGACATATTCTAAGGTACATTTTGAGAAAGCACTGGGCGCTTAAATTAGTCATGATTAATAAATTACACAGGATTAAGTCCCATTCTATAGATAAAACTAACCTTTTCTGGATTTGTGCCCTTAATTTCTAATTACAGATTAATTTTTGGAATGTTTATGCATTTTTAAAATTGGGGGGTTGAATGCTATGACTCCAAGTCTTCATCCAACAGAGAAAGCTTTCCTTCAACAATGAAAGAGAGGAACACTAAAAACATAAAAAGACATTTTTCATTGGAAGAAGTGCTTCTCCTTTGAAAGAACACTTAGCATAACAGAGTCATAGGATCCAGCCTGGTGGAAGGGAGTCATAGGTTTCAACCCTGTGAGTCATGTTCTCTGCTGCAATACAGCACAAATATCTGTAATAACAATGGAAGTAAATACTATAAAATATAAATCCATTAAAGAAAAACACTAAGCAGGAATCAGTTTAAAAGGATCCCTCAGTTTATAACAGGCTCTTTATAAACCAAGTATGTCTTATGGACACTAAAGGATGAGAACAACCCCTCTAGTTGGGGGTACGTACTCAGCATTTTCATTGTATTTACTCACGTTCCTAACACGACTCCACTTTCCCCATATTATCAGTAGAGAAGGAGTTTTGGACAAGCATAACAGTGGACTTCCACCAGCTTAATAACTCTTTGATGTTAGATCAAAATTTCTGCACAGTGGTTACTGTCATTCTACCTGTGGAAATTATTCAAGATGTTTTTCAGAATTTGCATGTATATTTTAGTGGTTAAATGGTAAATCTTGCTAATTTGCCACAAGTGTCCTCCTCAAGGCACTGCTGATATTTGATACTGACTCAGAGCCTGCCTGGAATGTTGCTTAAAATGTTTAGAGAACTCAATTCTGTGGACTAAACTTTGTGTGTGTGTGTGTGTGTGTGCGTGCATGTGCAAAAGGGAAACATGATAGGGACATCAGGTCCTTGTGTCCCTCTTAGAGCAATTGATAATAGCCTAGACATTTTGGGTCACATTTTCTCTCTTTTGTTCTGTGTTCCAGACAGTGAAATTATTCCTCCTGATTGCCTCCGTCCAAGATCCTTCACGGCTATCCGCCGTCCCTCGCTGCGCAGAGAGACTGAGGACACCCGACTGTCTGTGAGCCTTTGTGACCTCAACCTCCAGGAGGAAAACTTCCATGTCATGGCTGCCATGTGTCCTATCCCTCAGAACTCCCTCAACTCCCAACATTCCCATCTTCTCCCATCCCAGCTTGAAAGTGATCTCCGTTTCCACCAGCTCAGGGGAGCTCATATCAAAATTTTGGATGACCAGACTGTGGCTCGTCTAGAACATGCTCGGGAAGAGAGAACTTTGGTTTTTACCAGCAGGCCCCTTAGAATCAATGAAACTATATTTGTCAAAATTAACAAATCCAACACCTCGCGCACTGGAACACTCTCTTACGGGGTCACCACCTGTGATCCTAGCACCCTGAGGCCCAGTGACCTTCCTTATAATCCAGAGTCTTTAGTAGATAGGAAAGAGTTCTGGGCAGTTTGTAGAGTGTTGGTGCCTCTCCAGAGTGGAGACATTTTGGGTTTCATGGTGAATTCAGAAGGTGAACTGCATTTGAGCCACAATGGAGCGAGTGCTGGCATGCAGGTCTGCGTGGACTGTTCCCAGCCACTGTGGATGTTCTTTGGTTTACATGGAGCAGTGATGCAAATCCGTATCCTGGGTATGTTTTGTGTTTGAAGTACATTTTGCAGTTTGGAGATCACACAGAGAAAATTGCCTGGAGAGGCAGCATAGAAATATTCTAAATTTTTAAATGTTGGAGTGGGTAGGTACTGACAGCACTTGAAAATAATGTTGAGGGAGCAAAGGCAGGGCAAAGTAGATCCTGAGGTAGCATGTTTGGGAGTTTGGAGGCAGGCGATTCGGAAAGAATGTATGTTTGGTCAGCAAGCCACAGTTCCAACCATCAGGATCACCAGTGGAACACTACCAACTACAAAAGAGACAAGTAATTTTTTTGGTGCACTTTCTGTTCTTATGGGGTGGAAGGAATGGAAAGGAAATAATGCAGGGGACTACTTGCTTTATTTAGGCAACATGCACACATTCCTCATCCAAAATAAAGAAATTGGTTTTATAGGACTGGAATCTTACCTTCAGCATTGAATTACAGTGTCCTATCCTACCAGCACAAGACTGGTAAGCATGATTCCATTGGGAGTAAGCAATCTAGCTTTGTCTCATGTTGCTTTGAAGAACAGACACCTTAAAAGAACCCAGTTGTGCAATTTAATATTTAACTGAGATATTTATAGTCTGTTACATTTTTATCCTGCTCAGAGTGGCCTACATGTTTTTCTCATCCTCCATTTTGTTTTTGCAACAATGCTTTGAGGTATGTTAGACTGAGAGAGAGAGAGTTACTGGCCCTATGCCATCCAGTTAGCTTAATGGCAGAGAGAGGACTTGAACCCTTGTTTCATTGATCCTAGTCCAATATGCTAACTGCTACACCAGACTAAGACACACTATTATAAATGCCACTAAAGGGGTATGACGTGTAAAATCAAGTTGCTTACCCTGAAGAATTTCATTGTTTTATAGGTTCTCCGACATAGTAATTTTATTGCAAGAAAGAGCAGAACGATAGAGCTATCCTGATTTCAGGAACTAAGAACAGCCTATTCAAATAATGTGTAGCTATGTATTGTTCTAGCCACTGTTCCTCCATAAGAATCCGTAAGGGTTCACTGTAGCAGTTTGTCTCTTGCAATGGGTGTCCCCCCATTAATTTGTAGAATTCACTGCTCCTTTAGTTGTTGAAATCAGTAAAATCCAATAGTCAAATCAATTCATTATATCAGTAGTTACTAGCTAAGTGGGTCACCCCCAAACAGCAACGTCCCCACCATGATGACATTGCATGAATGTGATATTATCAGATTGGGGATGTCATGTGGCACATAAGATAGGCATGGAATACACTCCCCCCTAGATACTGCTGGGAGATCTCCATAATAGTGGCTCATCTCCGTAATAGTGGCTTCCTACCAACCATGGCACAGCTATGCTTATCACATTGTCCTTTTTAAAAATCCAACCGTCTTCCAGCTTGCAACAATTTTGCTATCTTGGGGAAATACTATTAAAATCAGTTCTTTAAAATGAAGCCCCTGCAGGACAAGCTTGGAATGGCAAACACAACCCACGACTGCACAAAAATATGCCAAGTGGGTCTTTTTCTTTTACTACCAATTGCTCTGGGCACCCCTGAGTTTTATGAGCCATGCCTTTAATTCTGTTTTATGGAAAACAAACTCAATAAAAAGACAGAAATTTATCAGGCCAAATTTATCAGGCCAGTGTTCTAAGGCACTTCACTGTCTAAAGTGTTCAGCAAACCTCCAGGCAGATGACACTTTAGTACTTGAGCAGAAATCTGTTTGGAAGCAGCTTCTTTGGGGTTTCTGGTATCTGTCTAAATACATTTTTAGATGCTTTCAGCACATCCTGGGAAAGCATTTGCTGTGTTAAATATTGTGTGAGACCTTCCATCAGGCTTAGATTGGTTTTTTCAAATTTATTTTGCCCTGCACATTAGGCATACATTAGTAATGTTAATTTGTAAGCAATGTCCAAAGGGACTTAATCTTTGGTTGCTAATGGGCTGTGCTCTGACGTTGCATAGTGCCATAAGCAGATCTTCTATTTTAGCATCATTTACACTGAAATGAGTGTAATTTATCTAGTGCCTGGGATGAGAACCATGCTTTGAACAGGCTTCAGGGATACCCTGTTCAGTGTTAGCCTTTCTTCCTAAAGGTGTTTTCACAACTCACACTAGGAATGCCTTTTAGTCTTCTTGGGATGTCACTTATGAGTATTGTTAATCCATGATAGCAAGTAGAAGCAAGCTGTTTTTTAATAGAGTTCACTAGATATTGCAGGTCCCCCCCCCCCCCCGGAATAAAGTTTATTCATTTTTCATCTACAACAAGATTATACAGGATAGGCGTGTACTTATAATTGAATCTATATAGTCTAATCTACATTACATTTCTTACATTTCATACAATATGTCAGTAATACACTTTGTGAATGTTACCAAAGGTAAAGAGTGTTTATTACAGCCGGTACTGTTTCCTTAATAGATTGATGTGCTAATATGGGAGACCATATAGATGTAATATCGTTGTGTTCACCTTTAGATTTATTTTGTATCAGAATGTCTGAGATTTTTTCCATTATGTATAGGTTCCATAGTTTTTTATACCAGAGGTTTACGTTTAGTTTACTTTTGGATTTCCATTGCTATTGTAGTTTTGGCTGCAAATAGTAATAAGGTGATTCTTTTCCTTTGTGTAATAGAGCGTTCTCCGCTCTGAGATTTAGAAGTAATGCTTCCGGAGCTTTGTCTATTTTGTGTTCAGTTATGTTCCTTATTTCCTCTAATACTTTGTCCCCAAAAAATGCTACTACAGGGCATTCATACCAGCAGTGTATGTAATTGCCTATTTCTTTGCATCCCCTCCAGCAAAGGGGGTCTGAATTACTTGAGATGTGTGATATTTGTTGTGGAGTTTTGTACCACTTGGACATTATTCTGAAAGTTTGCCATTTTTGTGTGATGATGGGGGTTTATTTTCATAGGTTCTCTAGATGTCTAACCATTTATCTTGGGTGATGTTAGATACGATACTCGAGGCAGCAGGTGAACAGTGATAACAACTTTATTGAACACGAAGTCAGAAGAACCAGAACGAGACAAACTATGGAGCAACAGACTCCTTTTTAAACAGTCCGGGCTTGGCAAGCCACGCCCACATTGTCAGATAAGGTCCAATCAAATACAGTACATAAAGACCAATCACTTTGCTTTCCTCCAGAACTTCCTTTGTTCTGATAGGTCGGTTTACAATACCTTGGTCAGGCTTAAGCTCAATACATTCATTACATTCCATTTCATACACAACAGGTGAGATTAGTTTTACAAATTTCCCCCCAGTATTTTTGATATGGTAGTGTGTTTTCTTGAAATGATGTTAAAATGGCATAAATTTTGGATATTAGCCCTTTTTTGCTTTCATCTGCATTTTTTATCAGGGCTTCAAAGGGGGTTGTGGTTTTTTGTAAAATTTCTCTAAGTTTTATTTTTGAGCATAGATGATTAAATTGGAGGTATTGATACCATGGTATACTTAGATCAAATTTGAGTACCATTGTATTTTTGTTCATAATATCTTTATTTAATGTCAAGTCTTCTAATTTTGTAATACCCACTTCTTTCCATTTTATGTACTCTTGGGTACATTGTCCTGGCGGGTACCAGGATTGACCGTAAAATGAGGAGAACATTGAAATGAATGGTGTGAGTTTTTCCCTGAACTTGTCCCAGATTGTTAGTGTTGGGTTTAGAAATTTGTTTCTCTAAGAGTGTATGGTTTTGCATTTTCTGATATTATGTTTATCCAGTCTGGAAGATTATCTGTTTTAAGCATGGTTATTACTTTGGCAAGATGGATGGTGTAGTAGTAGTTATGTAGATTGCAGGTTTTTCTAATGAAATGTTGCTGTTCTTAGCTGATCTTTTCTTTTCCCCCTGAAGTCCTGATTTATATTGATGTCTAGATGCTCTCTTCCCCCTAGCTTATTACTTATTGTTCTGAAACAATAGGCTCAATCAGCTACATATATGGATGACTACTTCCATGCATGTATCTCCCATGCTATATGAGGGAAAAACCTGTATTCCAGTTGTCATTCAACCCAATATAGGGAAGGGAGAGCATGGTTGCAGTTTGAACATATGAAGCTGCCTTATACTGAATCAGATCGTTGGTCTATTAAGCTCAGTATTTTTTACTCTGAGTGGCAGCAGCAGTTCTGTAGAGGTCTTTCATATCACCTACTTTCTGATATTGGGAATTGAGCCTTGGACCTTCTGAGTCATGGCCTGTTCTGGAAGCCCAGGAGCCTGCTGCATGTGGTTAAAATCCCTTCATCCAGCCCAATCCTACACCTCAGAATCCATATATGAGCAGTCTTGTGGAGCCCCCTGCACCATCCCCTCAGTTGGGGTGGCGGAAGGAAGTACAGAAGCCTCCAGTTCCTTATCCATTTGGCGGAGAGATGTGAGATGATGGGCACAACTACTGAAATGGGATGATTTATATTTGTTTTTATCAATGTGAAGGTACCGCGAAATAATGCCACTCAAGTTGCATATAACCTTTATATTATGAGAGGACAGAAATTCATAGTTTTCATTGTGAGACTATTAAAACAGCTTTGGATGAAATGAGATGTTGGTAGTAAGTGATATATTAGCTCCCTTATCTTATCAGGCCTTTGCATGCCTGTGTTGAATAATCTGGATACAGGACAATTTACCATTCTCTCTAAATTATGATGTGCTTGTCAGGACAAATAAACCTTACCCTTCCCTTGCGTGAATGCTGGAATGAGTTGGGTTTTTTCTGGCTACTTAGAAGAGTGACAGAATAGACTAAACTTTCTGATAACACCCAGGTTTGTTCTTCCAGCAAAATATGGAGTAGGTTTCAAAAGTGTGCAGCACATGTCAGGAAAGATTTTAATGCCATTAGATTTCCCCTCTTGTATTTTACATTAATTTTGGTCTCTCTAGAACTGTGTGGACTGCAGAACAGCTTTCTTCTTGTCTGTATCTGGCACATCTAGATTACAGCCAGAAAAGCTATC